ACCCTGTTATCTTGGTGTTTCAAGCAATCTGATTGGTTCGCTATCTCTGGCTAATGAATATTATTAAAAACTGGATCATTGCATAGTAACCGATTATTTTCTCCCTACCGAGTGAATAATGCATGATCCAAATGTAAACAAAATGGCCGACGTGTTTCTGAATCAAAAATCCTGTAAAATGCAAGGAGATGCTGTACCAGAAAATACAAAGAAGGCTATGAAATTTGGCTTGAAAGTTTTCAAAGGATAGAAAAAACTTACCGACGTTCGACTTTCGAGGAGTTTCAGGACATACCCTTGGCGTCCGTGGCAATCACAGATTTCATCAATCTAAGCAGACCCAACCGCTAAGCTGCGCTGAGTCGCTCTTCACCCGGCGTTGGCAGAATTGAATACCGCGGGTTCATCGGCAGAAGCATCAAGTGCTATTCAACGAAGCAGCTCCACAGGTATTCAGGAGAACTTCTCTGTGAAAGAATTCATCCACTTTAAATGTCGTGGCGGTCGTAACGGAACGAAACGAATGGCGTCCACTCTCGTACCCAGGGCCTCCGTATCCTTTGGTCACGTGGTCAGCGAAACGACATTTTAAAACGAGTATCACTGGGGACGAGAATGAACGGAGCCTGGAGCGAGATAGAAGAAAGGTGTAGCCTTTCCAAAATACGTTATCTATTTTCTATTTTCCAATTGCCCATAATTCGCTCTGTTTGCCCCCCCCCNAAATTTTGCATAAACCATTGTTGTGAAATACTCTTGGGAGGTCTGCATATTCCCAAGAGCATTTCACAACAGTAGTTTATGCAAAATTTGGGGGGCAAACAGTCTGAATTATGGGCAATTGGAAAATAGAGAATGGAGGTGCGATTTCACTTCCGGTCCCTTCGGGGCGCGCAAGAAGCTCGAAGATCAAAAAATTCTAACCATACTCTTTCTATAGTACGATGGGATATAATTTGCTGCCTTGAATATCAGGAACCCTTAGTTGTTAGTTACTCATCGTTGTTACATGTGAATATGAGAAAGATCATATATTTTGAACTGCGGAAAAAGATATGAAAACATGATTATAACTGCGATGATGAATCGTGTCTCAGCTCAGTCACGTTGCTATCTAGTGAAAACAAAATTAAAGCTTTCTGTCATTTCGAAGGAATTTTCATGACAAAGAGTTTGCCATGGCTTTCATTTCGCCGACCCGACGAAACCAGACAAGTGGCATATTGCTCAATCTTTCAGCGGGAAGGCAACTGAGACATTTAGCGGGCTGAAGTTCGTATATGTTATATTTGCTGTGTGCCTGGCTCTGGGATGAAAAGTAGCGAATTATGAAATTCAACTTACTTCACCATTAGATATTTCGCTTATCTTATAATATTAAAATGAATCTCTATTTCTTCAGTTCGCGGCTTTCAAAATGCAGCGGCGTTGTTCCTTTGAAGTAGCCTCTCCCATTTTGCTGTATTGTTGCGCAATATTAAGTGTAATGGCCTCCTTTCCAAACGAGCATTCTATTGGCTTATAGAGCAGCTGCCGTGATAACCGGCCAAGGTTCGCCGTTAAAAAGGTCTTTGACATCTTACACCGAATGTTTAGTCACTTCCGTAAAAGAGTGGGTGTTTCAGGGTGTATCCTTGAATTATCGCCCTTAACAGACTTCAATTCTTGTCAAACCTGTATTCGATGCTGCTATAAATCGTTGAAGGATTGACCGACACGATATTATGAACTTTCTGTGAATTCAAAAAGGTAAGTAAGTTCCTGTGCTCTCAAACAAAGTGATTGTAATATTTGGGGCTCTAATGAAGAGCATGATGTATAATTTACCCATGTTAGAGATTCTGAACGAAAATTGATTGTATTGCAGTCAAAGAAAAACGAAACAGTTAAACGAACTGGGAACTGAAACGAAATGTTC